CTGAAATAACTCGCTTATCACCCCCCCCCCCAAAAAAAAAAAACCTAACAACGTCGCGTACAAACTGAAAAAAACAGAGATCGTCTATGAACTCGTTCGATGATAAATCAGCAGTCATGAAATGTTGGAATTCGGGAAGGGAGAAGGAGAGGAGCCAAAGGTAGTACACATAAGGGCCAAGGACAGATTGAAAACGCGCAAAAACGAATCGACAAGGCAACTTAATTAATTTCAAGCACTCGTATTCTTTGTCCCGGTCGCAACCACCCTCTTAGGAACAGTATAGTTGCGTTGACAATTAATCATCACAATAGTGACTGGTACTCGAACAACGATAGAGTTGCTGGTGAGTACGTTCACCAAGACATAAACGGTTTATGGTCACTAGTCGACAGCTTGATTTTGAGTGCATGCACGCTTGTGCACAGTCGATAAACTCTGAAGTGTCAATGTGTAGACACAAACACCGAGATCTTAGGAGAACTGGGAAGTGCAGAGAGAACGCAGATCATACAACGGTTAAGAGTTCGGCTCTATGTAGTTGCACAAACAGGAAGTTTAGCCAAACCCGACCATACGTACGACATCCGCAATGACCAAAGGTGACTCCTGGAAGAGGACAGACGACCGCAATTGCATCTGGACCATTTGTTCGATGTTCAATGAGTTCAGATCCGATTTTGTTTTTGCGATCAGCTGACGGAAAAGTTGTTATTACGAATCGGTTCTTACAAGTACACTTCAGAACTCTAAACAGTGTTCTGACCAACAGTTTGAAATGAATCGTAGATGAGCGTTTGCAGCAGTGCATCCTACAGGTCCGTACAAACAATACGCCGTCAAAAGTTACGCTACAAACTCTCTAGATGATATAGGTCATCACAGGGCTTATAATTTCTTGTTGGGGCTGCCTGCGCCCGTATGACGTAGGGCCGCAGCCTAGAATGCGTGGGTTAGTAAACGTTACGACAATTTGCTTGTGGATTGGTCAGCTTGGGCAAGGTGGTTCAGGTCAAAGCTGGCGACTCTACTTCAATGATAACCGCACCCTGCCACGCGTCAACTCCACTGTCTAACACCGCTCTCCACACACTCACAAGTTCTAGGATCTCTATTCCATCAACTGTGGAATGTTTGGCGACTTCCAGCTCCAAGTCAATCGTAGTCCCCGGCATCTAATTTGTGCACCTTATCCCGTTAGTGTTGAGTTTAACTGAGACTAGCGTTTGACGTTTACATGAAGAGCTTGATTGCGCAGGTGCACCAACAACGAGCTAGGAAAAATGAGCTGTTTCGACTTCACCTTCCTTATCCACTGCACAAGTTGTGGGGACTGAGATTGTGCAAGATCGTTCAGAAACTACCCAGAATCGAATTCAAACAACGGACGTTGTATTTAAAGGGCGTGGAAAACGAATGACAATAAACTTTAGATATCCAAGCGGATTAGTGTGGAGATCGCGTCAGAACAGCAGTTTTCAGGTCAAACACACACTTGCTGAGAGGGGAATGCGGAAAACAGCAATTAGTATATTCCAGCAACACGTGAAAACTGGCACGTATGCACACGTCCACAGAAAGTTTGCAACAACTACTGTGGTAACAAAACTTGCGAATAGACAAACACATAAAGACTTGATGGAATTTGTTCGTTCTGTCACTGAGGCCGTCGTGGTACGATCATAATCCAAACAACACGCCTTAGGTGTAATTACAAGGTTACGAGCGAATCTATGACTTGAACTGACGAGGGTTTCTTCGTAAAGATAACAATAACACGAACACGCAAAGGGCAATAATGCATCTGGTCGTACACCAAAGTCATGTAACAGTGTCACACAATCGCACCGTGGTAGTCCTCGCAACAGATGATAGACGCATTTGTTGTTCCATCGGACAAAGGTGAATGGGTGGTAATCAGTTGATTTAGCGCACAAAAACTAGGGATGCAAGGGTGCTCGCACTGTGAATGGAGTGGATTCCCGTACAACACACTTTCGAACATCAGTTTCAGTGTATCAGAGACATCGATGACCAGACATATGGCGGGGAGAGATTTTGTACGTCTTGGCCCAGTTGACCGAAGTGGCAGCGTAGACAGGGTCGCGGCTGACTATTTCAACGACCCGAATTCAAACCCCGCAAGGGTGTCCGCAAATTTTCTACTATCCCCATCCTGATCATCTGTATACGACTTTCGCAAATGAAGGTAAAGATGAATCTTTAGTTTTTTTTTAAAAAAATTGTCTTCTGTACATTCCACCGCTGTGTTATCCGGTGATGTACGAGACTCGACAAAAAGCGATGCTTAGTAATTTTGCAATCTGTGCAGTCGCCCGCAAACTCTGTTGTAGACTTAATGTGTTGAAGAGTTTTGGCGACTCCATGTGGTACAGATTGATGCACAGAAAAAGTCTTCATAGCGCTCAGGCCAAACAACACGGCAAAAGCAAAGAACTTCGCAGTTAGAGGCAATGGCCCATCATGAACATGTGCGAACGGTGCACAGTCGTCTTCAAGCAAGGTCTGATAGACAAGAATTCTCGCAGCAAAGCGTCTAATACTGAACAGATGTCGAGCAAGCTGATACTTGAACTGTAATACGGTAATGTAGTTCACGAAAGTAGCATCCACGATGACCGTTAGACCATCCCACTGACGCTCCGGAGTATCAAGCCTACAACCGTTCTAGAGGCAACTCTGTGACAATCGTTGTACAGACACATTTGAATAAACGTTAGCAGTGGCTAGCCGTGTTCGTCTGAGATTTGTCTCCTGAGTGGTGTGGGTCGCCCAGTGTCCTTTCACGTGCACTGTGGAGCTCAAATGCTGAGTCGTACCCACCTGAACTGGCAGTCGTGGGCAACCAGTTAAATATTCTGATGACGCCACAGTTGCACCATCCTGTCCACCCTGTGGTTTTAGTAACAGGACCTTCCGGTCCGTAAGATGGCGTCTTAACCACCGAGCATGGTACCGTACGGTGATCTGAAGAATCCATGAATTCCCTTTCAGCTCCTTGCAGAAAGAGCCTGTGAGGATCGAATCCCGGCACTCGTTTGTTTGGGAATACCAGCTATGTTCATTATTTGGTAAGCAGAGCCGTATATTATGATGCTCTGGCTGACTTCACAATCAATTCCATAAGATCTATTAGGCTCAATAAGGTTACAGGAAGGTTCATGCGTGAATCATGCATCAACACTACCTGAAACATGAATACACTTTACGGACTTGTTGACATCGTGTTCCGGATCGGCTGAGGTTTGACACTTAGTACTTCAAGGAAACTCATCGGGAAACTAACTAAACAAAAACACAGGATCCAGCTAAAGAGAACCAAAATAAGTTTAGCATTGTCTGAAATTATCCACTTTTGCAACCTAGTGCCATTCATTCTTCATCGAAACACAGATAACCTTCTTCAGTGCATACTATCCCTAGCCTTAACCCTTCGATCGTTGAGCGTACAAAAGCTCGAATGGTCACCTCTCTATAATTAACGTTCGGTCATCTCGCGCAATTAGTTCATCAGAACTGGATCGAAAATTTTGACAGCCTGCTGACATCCGGTTTCAGATTAGCTGACACGTGCTACAACCAGCGGAAAGACACAGTTGACGACAGTTGTGTAGATGATGGAAACATGGTCTTTTAAAACGTCATACCAGTTTCTTTCTCTCGGAAATACCTGTCCTAAATCTTCTCACATACATAATACCTTTGCAGCTGGGCCTCTGTTCAGATTCCTAACAAATTCACCCGGAGATCATGCATGGATAAGGATTCCCGGGTGTTCTTGGCTCCTCTGTGTATCGTTTGAACGTTCGGAACAAACGACAGAATACAACCAAATAAATCAATGAATGCCAATGAGAGTGGTGCATCGGTGTGTATACAAACTTCACTGCTCACGATCCGCGTCACCACCATGGGGGTACTGCCGCAGTGTTCAAGGGGTGACAGACACGTTTCAAGGTGCATCCTTCCACTTCCGCAACAAAAGTGGGGCATAGTACCTTTCTAAGAGGTCTCACCACACATGAGACAATCAACCAGACAATTATGCAGCGACTATGTACAATATGGATTGAACAGGTAATTCTTCAGACTGCTCGGACCGACCTCCGACCGAATGGAAGTCAGCCGCGGCTGGTTGTATGTGAGCAGCTTACCCGGCTGTCCTGAGGTCGCACGAGTCATCTCATCTGATGTACATGTTGGGAGGCTCATTGGGGGGGGGGCACACCGGAGACAAGGTTGCTTGGTTTGAGAATCGACAAGGCCGACTATGTGCTGATGTATTTTTCGAACAGGTATGGCGTATTTGGCAGGAGATGACTCCTTCCTGAAGGTTTTACATATTACCACATGTTTCTAGCAGGGCCAGGGTGAAGTTCATTATCAAAAAACTTCCAATAGCTGGCGAAGAGGGTCATAGTCTGTAGTATCTTCGTTCGAAGCAAGTAATTCTCAAAACAACGTATTGATCAAACATGAACACGGAGATTGTGTGCGCCAAAATCATTGTTTAGGTCAAGGCCACACACACATAGCAGAGAGACACAAAAACACGAAATCTCACCTGGAACGAGCTTCGCAAACTGTACAATTTGTTGTGCGTGCATGTGAAAATGGTTCATCATGTAGTTCCACACCTGCGTCCCGTTGTCTTTGTGCTCCACAGGAATGGAGGTCATTCGGAATCGGGTTTTGAAGTACTGCACCCGAGAGGGGAACGAACGGAGAAGAGAACGAAACGCGTGAACAATACGAGGAAGTTGTCTATGAAAAACACGTCTGTATCAAGGAGTACATGTGATATTGCGTAGCACATACGGCATGCATGTGCCGAAGCAGAGGAGAGTAGCACCGTTCCGCAGAGCAACTTGGATGCCACGCGACTGTCACATTTTTCGAATAGTGAAACGAACGAAATCATCATATTCCAAAATGGGGTACACAGGCGTATCAAAGAGACAGCTGAAAATCCCGGTCATTAGCAAAGCTATCTGAAAAGACTCAGGATTAGCGCTGTGACACAGTGAACCGTAGTTGTTTTCAAGGTATGGAATTGAGGTGGCGTGGAATAAGCATGTAACAGTGTGTCTTTGCGGGCAACCAACCAATGTTTGGTGTGCGCCCACTGAGCTATTTTTAGACCGAAGACTGTATATTCTCAAGCTCACTATTACAGCGTTATATCAGGCATGGAAGAGCTAGAATTGAAAGGACATTATCGGCCAGTGAGCTGTCCACACCACAGACCACTGATGCCAACCAATCTCGGCCGGGTCCGGATAGCAGAGATCAGATGACTCCATTGCTGACATCGGTTTCTGGGTTAATCGTGGTCAGGCCAGGGTGAAAACTGGCTTCTGGCAAGTTGATTTTGCATAGTTTTTGATAAAAAGCCCGTTTAGCTTTTTATTCGACGGGTCATCAAATAGTCGATTATCGCTCAACACTGATCACCATAAAGTGAACGACCATTCATAATTTTTCAATCGACTGGAGAATGGTACATATACTCCAAGTGTCTAAAACAACTCACGGTGTTTGGAAGCCGGAGAAATTCTGTTGCTGTACGCATACCATCTGTGAAACGTAGGACGGCCTCTTGAGATGGCGGATCCAAGTTGGACATATCGTCTGTATCTGAGAACACTGTCGGCTCCTCGTCAGCCAAACGCTTGGCCAAATTCGCTATCAGCAGAGCAGTGGTGTTGGTGGGAGTAGGGTGACCGTCGTCCAGTTGTGAGTCGTCTGATGCGTGCTTTTTCGAACCCGGATCCAAGTGATGTCCGTATGGCGCAAGAAGTGACTGCATCCCGAGAGATACAGTAACAGGAGCATGAGCAGTATTTAGACCGGACCTGGACAACACACGACCAGGATGTTGACGCGACAACCGAGCTTGGTCTGTGGGGCTGATCTCCGCTCCGTCTTCGTCAGACACGGATAGTTGGTCACTGGCACGCTGAAAAAGATAGATGTTGAAGGAAAATGCCACTTAGTTTCGCCACAAAGCAGTTTTACACAGGTAGTAAATATCGACAATAAGTGACTCGCCCAGGGCAGTGTGAGCATAAAAACCGGTTATCGTACCAACGTTAGGTTGGTTCCAGATGCGACATCATTTACTGATAGTGTGGACAGTCACGGAAAGGTCGTGCATTGCAAACTACTGTCCAGCCAGTTCAATGATACATTTTTGTAGTTTCCTATCAGTCGGGGATTAGGAAAGCAATGCAATACAGGCGGTAACTTTGATGCAAAGGTCACTGGGAGTGCGAATGGGCGAATGTCAACGGATGAGCACCACCCACAGATTTTCTGTAGGTGTGGTTTTCTGACAAACTCTGTCTAGAAAGATGTTTGTTGGTCCAGAATGATTTCATGGCCTACAACTGAAAGGGGCAAATTTTGCTTTTGGAAGACGAATGGGGACATTTTTGGCTTTATCACCTCGGAACAGCATGGTGCAGACCTAAATATACAACAGTGGCGTCATAAATGGAAGTTTCGCGGATTCCCTCCGATGGTCTACTTGGTTCTCAAATAGACGTTCCCAAGCGACTTAACTGCTTTGGGAAGGTACTAAGCTGCATGATGTCGATGATGATGATGAAACCTTACATCAGTTGATGAAACTGTGCCCATACATATGACAACCTTGCCACAAACGATGTTACACAGCTGATAGCACGGATATAGACGAGAATTTCGTGTTGGTGCCAGCGGTCCGTAATAACAGAAAATGTGTTCATCCAATCCAAAACTGGCATTTCAAATGATACAAGACTTTTCTGAAGGGGTGGCTGTTCAGAGCGGGATGCAATGTCTCATATACTCAGGGGAACCAGGACTAAGTGATGATCCATCACAAGCTGACTCTGTAACGCAGAAACTTGGGCTGGTTTCTCAACTATGCCTGAAATGCAGAACCGGATTCGCCGTCGCTCGAACTCTTCCCTTCCAGTCACGGTTACATTCTGGTAACACCAAAACGGGTACAAGTAACGCGCACCTGTTTTTCCGGCATTTGAATTGTGTAGCCACGTCACCTTGATCGGCATTCTACAAGATAAGGGCGCAGTAGCTTAGTCACTTCCCTACCTGCACGTTGATCGAGTTTTCCCAATCCACCTGTACCCAGTAGCACGCGCGCAAAGATGTGAATACAGCCACATAGGATCTGTGTTTGGTCGAATGTGCGCGCGTGCAATTTGTTTTGGCGCACGCTGGCATGCCACTCTACGTATGCGCGCGCGTGCCACCGAACAGACTTACGCTTGAGCCGAGCGAATCGCCAAGACCGGTGGTGATGCTCGGTGAACAGGAAGAAAAATATTCTGCCAACAGGTAATAAGGAACAAGTGAATGGGAAGACTTAGAAGGATAAGAGGAAACATACCACCCGTCCGGAGCCATCCAGTTGTACGTTCGGAGGAACTCCACCTGGACTACTAGTCAACGGTCGGAGGCACGAATCTGTTGAATCAAATCGATCTCGTAGATCAGAACCCCGAGAAAAGTTGGGTGAGTAATGTGTCCGGCGGGCTCCCGTATCGTCCTCCTCATCCTCACCCGAAGTTGTCGTTGTAGTGGTATAATGTCCGGAATTCATTGCCATTACATCAATGGGTTCGGACGCTCGAGGTAAAAGAAGCAGCAGAGACAAAGGTGGTTTATGTTCCGTCAACCAAATCGCATTCGGATCGGGCTTGTTAGAAAATGTGGGTGTCAGCTGTTCAGGACTGTATTTCGGACTTTCCACGTCGCTGCGATTGTGAAGCGAAGCCACAGATCCGGGCGTGTCCAACACATGTCCCATGTCCAAGCTAGCGTACGACGAACGATGGTGATGATAGGTCCCAGCTGACCCCATTGAGAGGGGAAGGGGGTCACCGGCACTACCACCATAACTGTTGTTACCTTGGAGTGAGCGAAGTTGCCTAATTTCAATCGCGCAATGGAACTTGACCGCATTCGGTTGTCGTCCAATACGACTTCCTGGAAATGGGGAGGGCGCAAGGAACGGAATTGATGCGACCGAGAAACAGTCTAATAAATAAGGGACGAGTACACAGGCAGCCTGGAATCGGTGGGGGAGAACTATGTACAACCTCCCAACTGCCTTTTTGGAAATGGTGAGGGGGGGTGTTATGCCTCAACAAGTCCCAAATCGAAACAACCAAGCAACAACATTCCGCAGACGGAAGAACACGATGGGAAGACGATCGTGACCTGCGGAGATTGCTTTTAGCGACCAGTCTAAATATGTTTTGTTGTGCAAATCGTGCCATGTCATATCAGATCCATGGTGCAGAACACGCGTGTAGATCTACACAGACATGTGAGTGAACATTATCATTTGAAGTGATTTATGGCATCAGAGTCAACCGTCGTCCAAGAGAGTGAATCCAGAAGGAAGGGGAGACAGAACCAAACTGACGGTTGAAGCACACACACTTCCAGTCCAAGAACAACAGGTCATCCGAATCGGTTGCAAATGGTAGTCAGTCATAAAAACCACAACAATGTGGGTCATGTTCAAAATCATGTTAGCGGGCGAAACAATTAACATCTGGGATGTTAGAAATTCAGATATATTGATTGCTCCCTTGAAAAGAAAAACAGCTTACTCGAGGGAGCTATCTCTTTCTGTGCTGCTGAGTTCTTTAGGGGAAAGATGCCACAAGAGAACACAACGGACCGAAAATTGAATTATGTAAATAATGCACGCTGTAGGTTGTTTGTGCCACCCGACTTTTCTGGGTAATATGGCTTGTGTGGACCATACCTAGATTAGTATTCAATTAGCCAGATAAAAACGGAAGAATTCTAGCGACTACCACCGAGTAAAGAGGAGACCGGTAGCTGAGCTAGTGAGACATCGATTTGTAGTTATGCACAAACTAAGTTGAGTGCGAGATAGCTCAGTGGGTAAGGCGCGTACTGACTGACTGGAAGGTCCCTGGTTCGAACCCAAATCCGGCATCTCGGCTTAGGCAACCTGACAGTACCTCAGTCCTCATACTTCTTCCTAGTGACATGGCAGCTTGGCACCGAAAGGTTCTTATAGCTGAACGACTAAATTGTACAAAATTTACTGCGAATATAAAACCACCACTCAGCACTGGGACGGCAACAAGAAAGGTGACCCTACTGTGGTCACAGGTCTGAGAAGGGATAATTCATTGTGTATTGCTCGGATCGACAAATAAAACCTTTTGCGACGGAGTGGAAAGACGGAACTGAGTGGCATTTTCCCGACATAGTTAAGCCCCACATTGGGGCAGTGCACCAATTTTTTCACGTTTGTTGCGATCACAGATCAAATGAGAGTAGAAATAATCAGATAATACATGAGAACGCCCAAAAACATGTCACAGATTTTTCAATTCAGTTGGTTTGAACAACTTGTTGTCCCTTACCTAAACTGATCATAGGCGGATATCGTAAACATTAACGAAATTTTTGGTGAAATGCGTTGAACAGACTGTAAATGGGAGACGGAAGAACTTAGTAGTGACAGAATGATGAATGTAATTTCGATACAGTGGAAGTTCTCAACAACTATCAGTCCTGTTGTGGCAGCATTTGAGGTTGCGAACACGATATACCGTGACTGGCTATTGCATCTGTGCGCATTTTTGTGTCATTCCAATAGTCATAAATAAAGTTCTGGTAACAAGCCTCGAAATCTCTTCAAAAAATACCGCGGTATTCATAGCGGTGAAAATACGATATATCATCGGTAGTTAGAAAACGAATTTGCTGATAGGAATGTCTGTGGTTCGAACCCGACCTCCAAATCTTGAAATCTCTTGCCTAGGCTTGGACAACCCTTGGACAATCCCTCGTGCTTCCTTCGGACGGTATGGCAGCTAGGTACCGAAAGGGTATTACAGCTGAACGATTAGTTACTCATTTATTACGCACACTGTACTGGCTGAATAACTGACGCTGAGGGTTAAGTAAAGATCAGACACCGTGTACTTGATTCTGGTACTCGACTTAGTGCAAAAGTACGCAGTTTGATGACAGGTGAGTTAGTGGAAGTCCAACAGCCCGGCTTACTGGCGAGGCATACCAACCTGAAGAAAACAGTAATAAATTGAAGTCATGCGAAGAGAAGACATTCCTGAGTGGTGAATTTTTGGAAGGACACTACAAAATTACCGCAACAACTATGTATACCGCAACTATGTATATTCAATTCAAACCAGAGGATGGAGAAATTCAGACAAGATCGGTCATTTCTAGAAATTACTGAAGAATGCCATGGATACTGTGGTCTAATTGTTTTCAAACCACTTCCACCCTAAAAAGAATTCCTGGCATGAATGGACGACTTTGGCTGACTCCAGGAAAGTACTAGTTGTACGTTAGTAAAAATTTCAAAGTTGATGCTCTCTCATGATCATCATCATCCTGACCGGTAGAAAAAGCATTGTATCTTCTCTGTTGTTTTTTGTTGTTGCTGCCTTCGTTGTTTACGTTGTACTACCATCCAGTTAGTACAGCAACCATCCGGAGATGAGCCTGAGCTTGCTGTCAACTAAGAACCAGTTGGAGCGGTGACAACCGCTCCGTGAACACTTCCAATTAACAAACACATCAAAATGCCGGCAAGATGAGTGGTAGTCACTGGCGTTCGTGCACAGGCTGAATGGTGGAGGCAGTCATGAGGTTGCATTTGGACAACAGTATTGTTGGTATTGTTCGACTGGTGTCCAGTGCCGACGGAACACAAAACGTGCCGCCGTCCAATCCACCCCATAATTGTCTTCAGAACGTGGACGGTGGCTCAAAACATGTTGGAGCACGCGCGTCACAGGCAGCGTTATGGGTGGCATAGAGAGGGGCGACAAGTAAGCATTGGATAACACAACAGAAACAGCAAGGACCTGAACACAGTTGAAGCGTGACACACAAAGCCGGGCACACAAAACCAGGCAATTAGTTACAATCACCCAACAACCATCTTGGTTGAGGATTTTAGCGCACCGTGAAAAACTATATAACAATTTGTCATGATGAGACTTTGATGCCCGACGAAAGCTTGTCGACAACTGACGGACGGTTTTGGAGCCCATCGTGTAGAGCCGAAAATTCAGCGCATTATATCCCTAAATTGGTCGGCTAATTAGATGCATATGCAAACTGAAGGCGCTAACATGAAATCTCCTTCAAACGATGTTTATCGTCCACTGAGTATACAGTCATAAACGGAATTGGGCTATCTGAGAATAGCCCAATTTGTGTTTCTGATGGATTTCGTGATAAGCTCGCGACAAAAGCACCACGGATACTCGGAAGGTACCAGAAAGGCAACCGAAAGTAAATCCTAAGATCTGAAGAGAGTGACAGTGTGTGTGGAGTGACAAGATTCTCTAAATATATTCCTACAAAACGCCGAAAAACGCACATAGGGTAGGAGAGGACGAAGTCCTATCGAATTCGAAAATCTATTTGGTCATTACGTCACAGCTTCGTTGAGTGTATTCCACAACCCTTTCATGCCGAACGACGGACACTTTTAAACTGCGGACTGAGGAGACATCTAAGAATATTCTTACCATGTGTTGTCTCGATTGGTTGTTCCAATCCAACTTAAGGTGTGCTTCCACGTCATGCCAATTAACTATACTTGACATGAAGATCAGATCGAATGCCAGATACCCACCGAATATACCCAGGTACCAATATCATCGGGCGTGTCGCCTGGTCCTCTACACAAGTGTGGGAACGGCTGTCGAAACGAGCTAACAAGCGTTGCACGCATGAACAACATATCTATCAACCAGGATACTCCCCGTTTCAGCGAACAAGTGCTGACAGAACCCCGACTGAAATCCCGAGGCCTTCGAAGGGCAACATTCGGGATTTTTGCATTTGATCAGGTGGCTGTTGATCTGTTCGCCGAGCTTGGCAGTTGAGGTCTAGTAAGTCCTACATGACCTCAATACACAAAGCGGAAGACCTAGAAGACGTGGAGATACCTGCAGGCGGAAACACACCCTACAAGCAACGGAGTTCCTACAGGCATGGAAATTCGCCACAGAAAATGGCTCAGTTTACGTAGCACTACAAACACCGGATAACCAACCTATGACAACACAAACGGAACCGACAGATCAAAGGTGTCCGGAGAGGTAAAACTCAAAGGTAACCGGGACGCCAACCAATCAGGGAGTCAGTCGGTCATCCAACAAACGGGGTTGAGCATCCAAACGACTAGTCACAATCTGAACCTTTCCCGCGGCAGTTAACAAAGCATCCATGAGTACAAACAAAGCGGTACTCAGTACCTACTACTGACGAATTACCAGGCATCGTTAACCTACTACAAACTGACGTTACCTCGGTTCATGACGAAACGTTCCAAACTAAGTGGCTCAGCTCACCAACACATTAGCATTCTGCAACCAAACTAAAAAATCTAAGGAGGTTTAAGTCATGGTATGAATCCACCACTACATCGCACAGACAATTCGCAACACTTCCGGAACAAAACATGAACAAACGCTTTTAACTGAGTTTTCGAGACTATTCCGTGTGTTAGAAATTGTTAGTTGCTGAGAAAATGTATTCATATTAATTCTACAGGAGAATATCGGTCTCACGTTTTGGGCCAGTATATTGATAATTAATGGAAAGGCATGCTACAAGGTCGAATTCGTTATACCGGCATTCTCGTTATCGTCATTTCTCCAAAAAACAAGCGACGATGCTATAAAAAGTGAACCGGAGTTGCTGACCCATTCTTATAAGTTCATTGGGGAGGCCATTTAACTACAACATGTCCATTTTTGCAAGCCCCGCCCGAAGTCAGTCGGATGATGTCGAGTGTTGTTCAGGTCACGAGATGGATGTATACAGGCTTGAGAAATTCACGACAGTCTCGAATTGGTTGGGCAACGTCTGTAGTCACAGCGAAACCAAATCAATACAGGCAATGCCGTGATCGAAATTCATGACACTGGAATTCAAGAATCTCTTGCGAACACGTCCATCGCCAAGGCTAAGTCAGTTCATCGTACACTTGGCGGAGAAGCACGGATGGTGAGGGGACCGCAACACACGGGCACTGAAGTCCCATGTTAGCTAGATAACTACTGATTAAGGAAGTCTATAACAAAAGGCCCAAAAAAGATGTATACCTTTTTTCGACATCCCAGCGGCAATGCATCGGCGAAAACGACAACTTTTGCACGCGTTTCGACTGCGTGGTGTAATCGTACATGTGTTCTGTCCACCAACACAAACCAGCGAAGCTGCGGATCCTTCTGTTCGACGGAAAAAACCCTGAAACGAAGAAACTCGTAGCAGTCACATCAAAGGATAAACCAAACTAGTTGAAACGGCCTGAACGGAAAGGGAAAACCGAGACGAAATAAACACCACTCATGTGGCCGGAAGATAGATCGAATACTGTTTGTATACAAAGACGTGTCAGATTGTCAACCAAAGCCCGTTAGACGTCGCCGTGTAGGTTCGACCTCGACCCGTCCTTACCTTCCTCTTCATCTAACCTAATAGCAACATTTATCTAAAACATGAGTATCTAACTCACGTAAGTCGACTAAGTCACTGTAGCGACAAGGATAAGAAGTGAAGGGACTTGGTTACAAACATCAGAATTGCCTACTTTGTTAAGCACAAGCAAAATGCCACCAGCAATGTGAACCAATACATCTACAGTTCCCCTGGCTAAGCTTAGACTCTCAAGACACTGGAGTGCGCCTAACTCGAGAGAAGTCCGACAAATTGACTGCCCCCTCCAAAAAACCGGAGAAGTGAAGAACATAAGTTGGCTTGTTTGATTATGCTCAGCACTAGCGGAGAGCACAAAGCGTCTCCTTCGTATGTAGTAAATCGATGGAAAAAGTCATTCACGCCTAGTTAACATACCTTGCATCCTTCACAGGTGAGGGCACCAAAATGAAACCCAGACGAACGACCACCACAGACTCGACACGGAATGTTGGAAATATCCACGTCGGGCTGAGAGTCAGGATCTGATGCAAGGAATATTGGAGAAGGGGAATGATAGAAGATAATATTAACGGCTTTTAGGTTTACTAGAAAAAAGTGGAGCAGACTAGAGGAACGGAAGCGAAAATGATACGAAACGACTTTCAGTCGACTCGTGATATCCACCACCGGAGGGAGCATCTGTTCTCCTGGTATTCCAATGACGACGGGCTGCTGCTTCTACCCTTGAAGACCCTGAAAATTGCCTTCAAATCTCAGATACCAACCAGCTGATCACTAAGGTGCAACACCACCAACCATTTATTCTCCATCGAAGAGTCCTAATTCCATCTGAAGGAGCCCATACAACAGGTCGCTTCATCAAAGCTGGGATTTGCGTCTCAAATACAAAATAAATACCGACATCGACTTCCTAAAACCGAATCAAATTGCCTACTACTCACCAGAGGGTTTGACCAATAAATTTTATAGGACTGGGAATTCAACCGTCAGTTTCTGAATCTGACGGAAATAGATAATCCATGTAAGAAAACTGGTGTGATGCCAGTTCATACTGTTGCTAAGCTCCAGACCATAATGCCTGGTGCCAGTACGGTGTGATTACTATCGTTCAGAAGCGCCTGAGACCGCACTACTTTGTGCTGTGTGAACTACTCCTGGTCCGCGGACCTGGCTCAAGTGCAAGGTACCCAATTCCACTTTACTTGACAACAGAGACTGGCGCAAAAGCAAGTCTTTATGTGAATCAATATGCGGAAGAGCATGAAAGGCAAGTGGCGGCAGATGACGGTGAGTCTCTGTACCTCAGGTTCTTTTACTGAACCTTAGGTTGATGGCTTAATGGGGGTTTGCTTATTTGGAGAGGCGGGTAGATATATATCGAACAGCAGGGATGTAGACGATGATTATCCATTGTGGTTTTGAAGAATATCAAGACTCCAAAGTGGCGATTAGTAAATTAAAAGACCAATGAAATCACATGTAAAAAAACAAGAGGCATCTGTTCGAAGCATTCATGAATACTTTGTGGAAACGAAAGCATAACAACTTTTGACAAAATAGTGAGATGTTATACAGGCGGTGAAAACTCTGTCTCTGATAGCTCCCATTAAGTTGGCTGAGCAATTAAGGACGATATTGGTCAGGGGTGGCAACTGCTATGTCCTCACACAGAATGCCACTGTCAGATAAAGAATGGCGCTAACGACTCGAAATATCGTTTGCAACTTGTTCCATCCAAACCGGAGAATCATCTGAGAGTGTAGGATGTTATCAAGTTGCCCGGATGATGCCAGCGATGACCAGTGTTTGGGTCACCAATCACGGATGTACCATATTTCAAGGAATTCAGGCAGAGCGACGGTGAGTGCACCGTAAGGGGATGAAATGCTGGTAACCAGATGAGATCGAAAAAGAACCTATTCAAAAAACTGATTCAGTTGTCTGACATAAGTCGTTGTATTCTGTCGATTAATTGGATTACTACTGTTAGGAAGCAGCGAGGATCAGTGGTCCTAATAGGTTGGGGATGAATTGACCGGTAGGTTGTTTTCCATAACGGCACTTGTTTTCGTCTAGGATAGAGAGTGAAGTACGTCCTACAGCCATTGCATACATGTTCCAAAGTATTCCCCAATAGATGTGGCGAATATTCAGGGAAATTCGAATCATTGATTAGTTGAGCACTGCGTTCTAACCGCAAGTGGCCAATGGACAGAGATTAGTGTACACTTACGAAACACATACGAAGTAACTGACCCTACGAAAGCGTATTTCACGTCGCGCGACCCAGCGCCGACTGGCTCCAAAAACAAGTGGTAACATGAGCGGCTGACATGATGTATGCGATTGTCCTTTGACAAGCAGATTACCTACATTTCGTACATTCGACTCGTCTTGACATTTGCACATTTGATCCCTAATAAGAGTCAATCAGCTTTACAGTGCACCTTACCCTTGCAGTATAAGCTGAACTCCATTGCAAGCTAAAATATAAGTAAAAATTAAAAAACTTCTGGCTACCTCCTCTTCACAAGACACCACATACTAACAGATGACTTCAAGTATCTTCGTCTATTCATCTACCTAATTGCAATTGGGTGATAGTCGTCCAATATCTCAAATCAAAAGGGTCAACTTGTTCACACAGTCACATGGTTGTCTTGCCAACTAAGCTCTCACCAACGCTCGGATTTATCATCTGGAGATACTCGGCAGGGTTCTTTGCAAACGGAAACCATGGGATTGTGGCGATTACAGGAGTGGAGAGGAAATGACGATAAATGGTCACCAGTCCGACGCAACAACCAAAAGATACTGAATTCAAGACTATTCTCCGGCTCAACGATGTACATCCCTGGCTAAACCAATCATTGTATCGTGTCTTCCGGCACACCCCCTCGATGGAAACAATTTTAGGAACACCACAGTGGAAATGCCTTACACTGTTGACTCACGTTGAGTGGTAGAGCGGCGACTCAAGGGGTATATCGTGAGCATTTCGTAAATGCACATGGGGTGGACTAAATTAGCTGGTCATGTAGTCCGGGATACACATGGGATGACATTCGTTGCAAGCGTTTCCGGTTGGAACATGGATTAAAAGTGATACAGTCGGAGTACGAGATAAAGTAACAAACGATAACTCAATCACTATCGATTTCCGAACAATCACCGTTAATTTCTTCATGAGCTCAATGGTTTACGAGCAAATCTACTGAACAGAAGGTGTGTGTGGAGCTTAACTCTTGTCTAGGACTGGACGACCTGGAAGTATCTCAGCCCTGGTGTTAGCTTCATGTTTCACGGCAGCTAGGTAGCGAAAGATGCCGGATCGTTTTTTACCTGACAGCCTATGATAAATTACCGTGTTTAGTGGTCCTTATTCAAAGTTAGCTCGATGAAACTCTTGGTTATGTAAAGTTCACGGGTATGTTTCTTTGATGTACTTGAAGAAGAATATGCATCCTGAAATTTTGCATGAAATTTCCGGTTGTATCACAAACTTATGACGTATAATCGAAGATAAGTTACTGAAAGCAGGCTTTACTCACAACTTTCTTCCTTATCACCATTTAAGGTTGACACCGATTATCGGTCTCAGGGGCGTTCCATCTTTTAAAAAAAGAAAGCGACATGATAACGTTTCGTTTTGACAAAAGTATCGTCAGGTCACCGCGAAGTTTCGTTTCTGTTCAGCAAGACTTGAAGACGGAAGTGATATTAAGCGATACAGTGATAGGGGTAGGCGGTGCCCCGTAAGCTGAGAACCATTGGGCTACGAGCTAAGAACAGTCGATACTATGGTATCGACGAGGAACAAACTGTGCGCACGCAAATCCGACGGTGGATACAGCAGATACTGGTAAATTTTTGCGTGGTCGAAAACTATCAGTTCCGATCAGTGACTATGTGATGCGACGCTGTATGGGTCTTTTCATTGATATTTGTCAGGCTACTGCCCGATGGAAATATTTCGCTCACTAAACCGATTCGCAGAAACAAACACAACTGATGTTGCTGCCGAAAAAAAACCTGTGGTGATGACAATTCAGGCGTTGTACATTTGGTCATTTTGTCAATCTCGCAGCAGACGCGTATCGCTAGCAAAATCATCAGGTCCTTGTTTACCTTCTCAGCCACTCGGTATCAGTTGCTAAGTTAATGCAGTATGCGTGGGTGAAGAGAACTCATCAAAACGGAAAAGTTTTGAGGCTCGCGTTATCACCGAATAGCGTGAAGTCACTGTTTACCCTAATTTCGCTATGCCAGTCACCAAAGTATGAGGAGTGATAGCAGCACAGACCATTTCCGCGTACAAGTCATTGTTTGTCGGCATCGGGTTGGCGTGAAACGATTAAACGAAGTCAAATGGGACTACCCTTTTCATCTACTGTGATCATTTTCCAAATATATTCGTCGAATCTAAAGAGGTTGGGGTGACGGAAACAGTTTAAAGTATGAAAATGAGTTTATTTCTCGAAAACAGTCCAATTTGGGTTCAAGTAGATCATAAGGTTGACGGAAACTCGGGGACTGCGCCTACCTGATGAGCCCCAAGGGCGAAGTAGGTCGTGGGCTGTCGAGGAGTTTTCAGCAACCTTGTGAGTAGTTCCCTTTATGAAAATTAGGGTTTGTTACTAATGGCACGCCTATTAGTTCCTATTAGCTTGTTTTGTTCAACAATGATTTTGTCGGTTGGGCGCAGTTTCGGGTAAAGCAGCTGAAACTTTAAGCTTCAGAGGTCTGTCCCCATTCGCATGTGTTTCAGTAGTCAACAAGGGGAATGAAGCAGCTTTCGAAACGAAGAAAATCGGACAGTGGTCTCGCTATGTTTGCTCCTGGTGACCATCCATATGCTTGCACTCATAACATAGGAAGATGGTTACTGAGGCCCTAAACCATATGCCTTAAAGATGCGGTAATTTCACTTTCAAATTGCTCGCAACGAATAACAACCACTGATGTGGACACCAGCTAGTGCGTTTCTCATATTTATTCCTAAAAAACGGAACAGTTTCGGTAAATTCGTCATCCTAATTGGCGGTCGATCGGGAGATTGTTGATATGTTCGCTCAGCTGAGTAGTTAACGTACATGCTTTGTGTCACCAACTGCGGAGACATCCTCAGTGCGCGGTTGGGTTGGTCGGGCTTGATCAGCAGATCAACAGTTTCATGATCAACTAGCAGTGAACGCACCCGAGCCACCCACATTCTGGTAAATTCTCGTCAGTTAAATCCAATGACGAATTACGTATTTTCCAATTAAGTAATAACATATTGCCAACAGAGAAAAAGCTAAGCGCTTTAAAAGCAAAACACTCGGAAGCGTGAGCGTTATTATTGCGGTCATTATATGTATTTAGCGGGAAAGAACCATCAAAAAATGCAGTGGTGTATGCTTGTGCCAAGTTTTCCGAGGACACCCTTGAGGTTAAAAATGCAACAGTGAGACCGAGGAGATGAGATCAGCCATCATTGTTGCCAACATATGCAAGAGCCCATATGCCTCACACAAGTACG